GTCCTGCAGAGCAGCGGTACCCGCCAAGCCGGCCCGCCGCCTCCGCCTCCCAGGGCGACGCAGACAGCCGGCAGCCGCCGCCGAGCTCTGACGAGGACGAGGGAGACGACTACGAGGAGGAGCAGGACAAAGACCAGGAGGAGGAGGACCGTGAGGAGCCCCTCTCCGCCGCCGCCATGCTAAACATCTTCCGCTCCATCCCCACGCAGATGGTAGGGCGGCCGCCGCGGGAGGCCCGGCCGTGCCCGGGCCCTCGTCCCCTTGTCGCTACTGGCGACACGGCTGCGTGCGTGTTGTGGCGTTCCCCTTCCTCCATGCGGTGTTGGTACCTGCCTGTGAGGAACTGCTGTTGGGGTTGCGGGGTGCTACTCCGTATAATTTTTATCTTTTTGGTCTGAAAAGTCGAGCATTAATGTACTGCAAAATGAAGGTAATATACAGCTGTGCAACGGAGACCCCTCTATACTTTTCTGTCTGTGCTGTAAACAGCCAGAAGGCTAAATGTTTACACAGAGCGCCACGTTTTCTGAAGTAATTTAAACACAGGTGACATACATACGGTATCCTCTCAAGCATATACTCTCTTTTGTGGTGTTATGGCTTTTACATAGTGATATTAAGCTAACTAGAATGATATTTTGAACTTGCATTACTTATCCTGAACAGAGAGTGCTTGCTTTTATTTTTAGTTGATGTGGTCAAGACTGTAGGGGAGGTTTTAAGTGAATTAAGAGTTTCTTTTACACTTGAAGTCCAGACACTTTAAGAAAAATAATTCCAGTCTGTTTTGAAAGTTGAACAAAAAAGTTGAGAACCTGTGGTCAGGCTGACTCTAGGCTCTAAACTGGAAGAGTTTAACTGGTAGATTTTGTGTTTTGGGTAATTGACCAAAAAAAAAAAATCTCTCTTTCAACAGGACTACAAGGGCCAAAAATTAGCAGAACAGATTTTTCAAGGAATCATTCTTGTCTCTGCAGTAAGTACACTAGAACTATGGGTTTATTATTACAAAGGACTTTATTTTGTTTTCTGTTCTTACAAACAGAGTTTTTCTTCTGATTGTTTGGCTTAACTGGGTCACTAAAAGCTTGAAACAAAATCAGAGGGGCTGTCACAGATTAAGACTTTTCTTCTTTCATTTTTTTACTTTCATTATTGGCCTACAATTTTTAAAACAAGGTTAGAAAGTGCGTTCAAGAGACTGTGCTTTTGAAAAACCTGTATTTCTCTTTCTACTTAACTTCTCCCACAACCCCCCAACTTAATCATGGCATGGGAAATGTTTTTGCTTGTTTGAAGTTTGATTTTTTTTTTTATTTTTTCAGATAATTGGTTTCATCTATGGATACATCACTGAACAGTTTGGATGGACTGTCTACATAGTTATGGCTGGATTTGCTTTATCATGTTTGGTAAGAATTCTTTTTCCCCAAAACAGAAAATACATGCACTATTTAACCTCAAATAATCATTAAATTAAGGGGCTGTCAAGCACAGACAAATGTTTGCTATGTAATTCAGATTGTAAATATATACCTGTACTTTCTTTGATCGAAATGCTTTACAAGCCAGTAAGTGCCTTTTCTCAGATGCTAGTAAAATTTGGGAGAACACTGCAATTTAATACTGCTTTTGAATTAGTTTTTCATTTCAATTAAATGGTTCTTTGAAGTCAAGCTGATAGCATTGATAACAGAAAAGACATTAAGGCTTTCCGTAGAGTAGTAGCTTATCATGAAAGTTTTGCAGCTGGCCCATGCCAACCGAGGAGAGAGACTAGAATGCAAAGTAGAGAATTACGCGTAATTCCCTATTCATGCACGTGAGGTGTCCTATGCAACTGGAGCACACCAAATGCGGTTTTACACATGGTTCTTATTCCTTTCAAGCATTCAAGATACAACAGGATTTGACCAGTCATTACATAACACACACACTATTGTTTTGAAAAGCCACTATAATTCTACGACATTATCATCCATCTGTTTTTTTCTTGATCTAAATGTCTGTGGAGTCTTGCTACAGTTACTTAGCTATGATGCTAGATAACAGCAGGGTTTCACAGAGGTGTTAGAGGTGCTAGGAAGCTGGCATTCCCTCTGTAGTCCAGGGGTATCCTTTTTTTCTTCAGGGTGGGTGCCGTTATCCTCCTTGCAATGACCTGGGGTCCTTCAGTTATGCTTACTTAAGCATGACTATGTAGTATACAATATAGACTATATATATATATGTATCTTTATAGTATGAAATTTTATGAACTTTCTGAAGACTAATAGTACAATAGTTACAGAATGAGGTTTTCCACACAAGTTGTACGCAACATTTATCTAGCATCTTGATTTACGTGTTCTGACTTAATTCCTTTTTTCTAAGCTAACGCTCCCTCCGTGGCCTATGTACCGTCGCAATCCTCTGAAGTGGCTACCTGTCCAAGAGTCGGGAACAGAAGAAAAGAAGCCAGCAGACAGAAAGCCAAAGAGACATGCTAAAAGCTAAAAAGTGTGGTTCTTCATGCTGTTACTTTGTTAAATTTTGTTAAATGCATTTCCACTGGGAGATACTTCTTGGCTTAGTGTTTGTGGTTTTCTTACTACTTTATATACTACCATGAGTACACCAAGATCTGCAGAGATGAGTACACCAAGATCTGCAGAGCATTTTGGCTGGAGTTTCAGTGAAGTTAGTTACTGAGAAGGCAGGTGTGGGGCGATTAACTTTAGAAGGCTACTGGAGATCACATCTCCCTTAAGTATTTTAGTAAACAAGGAACATAGCAAATGTAATCAAGTCTCCTTAAGCTCTTGCCATAGCCTAAAACATAACATATGGCTGGACTTCTAAAATATTTCTAACCATGTGTAAAAGAAGCTAGCAGCAGTGGCAGTTTGTAACAAGTACCATAAAACAGTTCTGAAAAATGTTAAGAATTGGAAAGTGCCCTGGGAGATTGCAGAGTGGCATTTTTTGTTTAAAATAAATTTGCCTGGGTAGAGAAAGTAACATCTTGACCCTATATAACACAACAGTGCTTGAAACCTTGTAACCTGAGCATCTATGTTACATGACAGAGGCAGCAGGATCCATCAGTGTTTCACTTCTTTACTCCTGACTGTCATGTTAGTCTCCCACATAGGTGCTGCTGGTGGTTACAATGGAAAGAGACAGGTTGTGCATTTAAAATTTTATTTTACAAATTCAATTACCTTTTGACTTCTTTATCCTTTAAAAAGAACATGTGCTTTTTCTGTAGTGATGGTACATGACAATGGCTGGGCATGTGTAGCAACACAATCTAGATGCAAAGAAAGGGAAAAGCTAAGACACCTATTTCTCTAAGTGACCCTGGCCTTGGGCACTTTCATTCCTAAAATGAATTAGTATGTGTAAGGCAATGGGATTTCTCCAGCTGGGACCATGGTAACCATGGTTTTGTTCCTTTCAAAGGTTTTCAGACTTATTTTATCCAGTTACCAAATTCTTTCCACCACCTTGGTGATTGCCTTAGCAATAAGACACAAAAGCAAAGGCTCTGCTTAGAAGCAGTACAGTCACCCCCTTTAGCACTTTACCTTGGCAATTTACAGAACCTGGAGGGCTCTTGTGCTACAAAAATTAGTAATTGTTTCTGCCTGCTAAATTTTCACAACTATTTGATGTAATAGCTTATAACCTATTACATCATAGCCTTGGCATAGATTTTATTACCATATTTAGTATATGACCATACCAAAAAACTTTTGCTATGACAAATTCAAATCAAAACTTTTTTTTTTTACACTCCTTTGTATACAAAAGTCAGTATCCATCCCCCTTTGCATCTATAAAAAGCAACTTTTTAAAGTTTCATTAAGAGAATAAAAACTAAACTAAACAGTTTCTCTTCTGAGAAAGTGATAGGCCTGGTTCACATTTTAACATGAAAAATATTACTACAAACTATTAACTTTTTTGCAAGTTTACCTCCTTATTCCAGAAAAGGAGGTCAATGGATAAACACGCTTTGTAAGCTGGTCCAATCTATCACATGAGCTACAAAACAGTCCTTTTCTCTAAGGAAAAAATTCTGGTCAGAACTTCACATTTTCTTCAAGAAATTTCAGGTGGCGTGCCTTCACACTGTAACTTGCATACTTGTCTCCCATATGCTCCCGCAACTGCAGCTATTTAAAACACACAAAAAGTCCCACAAAATTTATTGACATTGAAAAAAGCAGGAACTGCAAAACCATTAACAAAAAAACACCAAAGCACTCAACTGAAAGCAGTATGCGAAGTCTGACAACATAGATGGGAGGGAAGAAAGATGGAAGACTCTCTGTTGTCTGAAGGCAAAAGAGTTCCAAATCCCACCCAACAAGTTAAAATATAAATAAGATTTTCACAGGTCATACTTACCGATCCAGTATTTTATTTGTAACCAAGTTTTGAATCACATGAGCTGGAGGTATTGCTCACTCAACTCTATTAGGAAGAGACATTAAACCGCTCCTCACTTAGGACATAAGGGGCTTTAGGCAAAATAATATAAAGGCAAAAAATTATGGTTCAAAAGAAATTACCGAAGAAATGCCACAGAGTAAAATTATTTGCATCCCTCGCATCTTCCATAAACTCAGGGACCATGGTACAATTCTAAAGCTCCTATGCTTTCTGAAGAATTTGTGGTTGAACACAGTCCACATTCAGAATCAAACTTTTAAAGCTTAAAAATGACAATATACTTCGGCCCTTGCCTGCTAATGGACAATATACTTCGGCCCTTGCCTGCTAATGACTCCATAAACACTTTTTGGGATCAAAGTTTGTAGTACTATATCAATATCTAAAAATGGAGGGGGGAGGGAGGGAAAGACCGTGCTCATTTATCTAGGTTTATAATGGAATTAAACAATTTTAATATGGAAGACATTCACCTCTCTTTTCACTTCATCATCTTCTTCCATGATGCTGTACACCTTCTCAAGAAGTTTCACTCCCAATCCTTGCACCACATCAGATCTCAGGATTTCAACCATTCTCCTAATCTTGTCAGGAACTGATAAAATATCTATTAAAAAAATATATGAATGCAGTAATAATTACTTTCACTATAGTCAATTTTCATACTCTATGCAGGAGAAGAACATGGGACGACATTGTAAGTACTGCCACAGAATTCCAGCTGACCATTTGCATGAAATAAAGTTATCTGAACTAGGTAGCTGGAACGATCAACAAACATGGTGAATCAGAAGCATTCGGATGCTAACTCTCAAGACACTGGACAGTACAAAGTCAATGCAGACACAGTTTGCACAATTAGGTCCCTCTAACTTCATTTCAGGCAGTTCCTGTATACTATATTACAAATATTATTTGAATTAAAAGTACTGTTCTCTAATACTATACCACCACCCAAATATTTTAATAATTCAATCACTTGTACTTACAGCAAGTGTAAAAAAAAATTAATCACTGTAAGACACTAATGGCATCATTTCTGCCATCTGCCTGTTTGTCTCAACAGCCTTTGAAACTTTTGCTCCTCAGCTGAAGCTGCCAAAAGATAGTCATTCTATAAGGAGAGGTCTCCATTAGGAACAGAACTGAGAACAGTACCTTGCTCTTTTAATCACTGAAATCACCAACACTTCTTTCACAGGATAGATCACCTACTGAAAAAAAAATACCTGATCTAATTAAAATATGTTTCAGCTTAGAAACGCAGTAGCCCTGTCATCCCAAATGGTAGTAAGTAAATAGCTGGAGGATCTCACTATGTAATACTTCAAAGTGAGAAAAATGGACAGGAAAAAAAAAAACAAAGCAAAACACTGAAATTTGCAGCATTCAGTCATACCTGTTTAGAGACTAACTCTTTCAATGTATTTTACTTTAGCTAGGCAGAATCAACTTATCAGAGTAAAATCCAGTGTTCTCCCATTGCTTTGCCTATCACCAGACTAGCTACAAGTAGAAACTTTATGATTTAAAAAAATAAGCACAAGAAATTCCGAGACTTCAAAAACCTACCCTCAGCTTTTTCACTTGTTCTTGTTGCATAATAAGTGCAGTCATAGCAAACACAATTTTTTCTTGCTTTTTGGAATACATGTACATACTTAAGGTCTAAACCAGACCTTAAATATGAAAAGTGATTCGATTCTTGCACCTGTATCTGTAGGAAAAATAGGCTTGCCCAAAGTCTGCAATGAGGATGAACTTCTATACTCATACAAACCTCCACTGTGTTTAATGCTTTGTGTACAGTTCCAGCTTTTTCCGTAATTCACAAAGCTTTACAGCTATCAAATCATTTGAATTACTTAAAAACCTTACTTCAAAATACTCAACTCCACTGTTCATTTTGTAAGCTTCTAAGTCACATGGGGAAAAAATCATACCGCAGACCAGCTTTCTCACTTCATTAATAATTACACAGATCGATCACACATTCCTTTCATTGGTAAATAAACCACAACTAGAGCGCTTTTGCACACAAAATTATTTAGAAAGATGTTTACTTCTATAAGCATTGTTGAGACTTGAGAAGAAATAAAAGTGGGATGTCTTCTGTTGCCCACAAGCAGGTTTTCTTTGGTTATTAGCAGTTGACAGCCATTCCTTTAAAGCAATAATAAAGCAACAGACCTGAAGGAATCTCTTCAAAGTTTAATTCCTCTGGTGATTTTTTTAATTCATCAGATGATTTTCCATGCAAAATCAAAGTGTCTCGATATTTTCTATGAAGTTTAAACTCTGGGGCTGGAGTTGAGGTTACACAGTATTCTGAGTTCTCCTTAGAGTCCATTTTCAGTGTCCATGTCATTAGCTGCACCAAGTCACTCATTTCATTCATACTGCTTTTTCTAGTAGAGAGGAAACAAGATGTGATTCAGTCACAATTCATGATGCAACTTCCACCTTGCATTCAGGAGACTTTCAGTAGGTTTAGTGAGGTCCTGCTAAGTATTCCACGTTAAATTACTTCTCGTGGTGCAGTTTTATCAAAAGCAACATTATCAGTATTTCATCTAATAAAGGCTCAGAACCCAACTCACAATCCTATCAGCTACTGCTACCTGTGTAGCTGCATTTGTGGTAATGCAACAAGTCGTATTTTTTGAAAAGTTGCTTACACTGACAAAACCAGAAATAAATTCAGCCTCATTCACGGTGGAAAGGAAGCATATTGGCACCTTTGAATTCATGCTTTTAATGCGTCCTGACAGTGTATGTCTTTTGATGCTGGAGGACTGGTTTGCTGGGAAGCTACAGTTGACAAAAGCAGAGGTACACATTCACATGTCCCAGAAAGCTCAGCATGGAAAGTTTATAGTCACAGAGGGGCAACAATTAAACGGAGTTTGTTTTCTTTATGCATCACATACTTCTTCAAGCACTCACCATGTAGAGATAAAGTGTGAAAGCAATTTCCGACATTTTTTTCCACTCCAAGTCAAGGTCCAATATAGCAGTGAAAGCTCTTGCACAGTATTAGCAAAATACTTACTTCT